TTTTGCCAGAGTAGGGACCGTGGAGAGAGCTAGGGGGTTCAGGGGTTGGTGACGTTTAACCTCCCGGCGGTGCAAGTGTGTCAGCGCGTCTGGGACGCAGCGCGGGTGCTTAAGCGCCACGGCTGTGCCAGGCGGGTTGGGAGGCCCTTGGATGCCGCTGAAGGGACGGGACCTCTCCCAACTCCTGGAATGACCCCTGAGTAGCCCCCAGAGGTCCTGGCCTGACAAGCTCCCTGGCGGAGTGCACAAAAACAGGTGAGAGAAGCATATATGAACCTTCCAAGGAAACCTATGCGGAGTCCACCTGAGCGTGCGCGACGCCGTTGATGGATAACGGTTGAGTTTCATCCATCTGCCGTAGCTGTGTTGGCCCACCCACAGACAGGGGGCAGCATTGCTACCGTCTCGCGCGTGGCCGTGCCTGCCTCCGCGCGAGTATTTGCCAGGACGAGAGAGCTAGGGGGTTCAGGGGTTGGTGACGTTTAACCTCCCGGCGGTGCAAGTGTGTCAGCGCGTCTGGGACGCAGCGCGGGTGCTTAAGCGCCACGGCTGTGCCAGGCGGGTTGGGAGCCCCTTGGATGCCGCTGAAGGGACGGGACCTCTCCCAACTCCTGGAATGACCCCTGAGTAGCCCCCAGAGGTCCTGGCCTGACAAGCTCCCTGGCGGAGTGCACAAAAACAGGTGAGAGAAGCATATATACATATCATAAGGTCTCGCAGAAATTCCCACCCAAATAATCGTTCTGCCAACTCGCACATGACGGGGTAAACTAGAAAATGAGACGGTAGAGGGAAACAATTTCTGAACGCCCCCCCTTCCCCACAAACTCAAGGTTGGCGCGCGCGGGGGGCGCTGCGGTCGAAGTGCATCTCGTCGAACCCACCGCCGACTCTGAACATGGGGGGGGGGGGGAGGCGTTGACGGATGACTGTGGCGTGAGTGTTCGCTACTTTGTTCCGAGGCCCGCGGGCGCCTTGCCCGGCACGCGGTTGCCCTCGAATTGACTGGGGCGCAACAGCACAGGAAGAGTTACACGGGAAAATGCTCGAGAAGAGGACCGGGGAGGAGTCATCTCAATCATTGCGAAAATCAAAGGCCAAAGCGGTTGCATGTTATGTCTAGCGCCTCCCCAACGGCCCCGGACCCCCCCCGGAGGCGTTTCGCGCATTTGTTTTTTTGTTTCGCGCATTGCTCGCAGCATTCGCCCCATTACTCGTTATTTTTCACATATTATCACTCGTAAGAAAAAGAACATAGTTCAATGATATTTTCTCTTTCTACGAGTGATGCGAGTAATATAGGAAAAATGGAGCGCGATGGGACGAGTGACGCGACTAATGCGTGACAAATCTGGCGCGGGGCGAGTCGGGCGCCAGAACATTGGAGAAGGGGAGGTAAGTCTCTCTCTCTCTCTCTCTTTCTCTCTCTCTCTCTCTCTCTCTCTCTCTCTCTCTCTCTCTCTCTCTCTCTCTTTCTCTCCACATATATATATGCACACATACATACACATATGAAGATGTGTATATAGATATCCATATATGAACCGTTATATATACATATAAAATTGGAATACCTGAACATGTACATGTGTATATATATATACATATACGTATACATATACCCGTATCACATATATATTTATACATATATATATATATGTATATATATATATATATATATATATTGTGAGATGACCCGTATCGTCTTAGCTTTGTGCGAAGTGTACTCACGGGTGGCCGTTCTGAGGACAGAGGTCCTCCACTTTGGGCGTTCCTCCCTCCTTCGGTCCTCCTCCGTCTCCGTCGGGGCTCCAAGGCTTGAGGCGCGTGCGCGAGCGCCCGCGGCGGATGGCAGGGGCTCTCTGGGTGCCTGGGCTGCAGGCGGCGTCGCAGGTGACACAGGCCTCCCTGCTCCGCTGCCCGCCGCCGCCGCCGTGCCCGCAGACGAGTTGCCCAGCGGTCGCGCTGCCGCCGTGCCCGCAGCCCGTGGCGTGCCCTCCTTGTCCAGCGTGCCACGCCAGCCAGCGCCCGGCGGCTCCGGAGGCCGCGGAGGACTGCAACGTCCGGAGCTCGGGCGGCCTGCTCCTCTTCGTTCTCGGCGTCCTGGCAGGCGCTGGCGTGACTGGCGGGTTCACCGCGATCCTCCTGTGCTGCGGGCGCTTCGGGAGCTCAGGCACCGCTCGTGGCCGCGATGGCGGACCACGTGGAGAGGTACCAGGTGGCTTGGCTGCGCTACCGAGTACCCGGGCCCGCTCTGTACCATCAAAGATTGCTATTGAAGCAGCTCCGGTCGTCCGGTGACACCTGGGTGGTGCTGACGCCCGATGGCGACATGTACGTGGAGGAGCTAGAGGTGAACGACGACGTCCGGGAGGTGCTCTACGAGAACATCCCTGGCGTGGAGCCCGCGCAGGTGCGGGGCCGCGGCTACAGGTTCGGCCAGATGCCCTCGGCCGACGGCCTCAGGAGGCTGGCGCAGCAGGCGGAGACGCTGCGGGACCAGGAGGACGCCGTGCGGGGGTACCGGGCTCCGGCGGAGGGAGCCGGCAGCCTGGGCGGCTTTGAGCCAGTGGGAGGCACGGAGACCCCGCGGGGTGCGCCAGCCCTGCCGCCGCCGCTCCCGCCGCCTTCGGAGGCGCCGGGGCCCCCGGGGCGCTGGGTCATCGCCGTCGACACCGGCGAGGGCAAGGTGGGCGACTCCATCACCGTTGCGGACGCGTCGCGGGTGTCGGGAGACACGCGCATTGGCGCGGCTCAGGTGTCGAACGGGGCCTGGGTGTTCGTGGAGCGGCTCCTCGACGGGGAGACCAAGGAGGAGTGCCTCGACCGGACCGCCGGGCGTCGTGGAGCTGGCGACGGCAACCTCGATGCGCGGGTGCTGCCGGTGACCTACAACTCCTCGAGCGTGCGCCAGCGCCTCTGGAGGGAGACGGTGGCGAAGATGGCTCGGGTCGCGTTCTCGGACTGGCCGCTGCCGGGGCCGCGCACCGTTGACTGGTGCGCGCGCTTCGTGGACCGCCGGGGGGGCGGCCCGGTCGACCGCCACCGCTGCAGGTCGGCCATCTCCGCTTGCAGGGCGCGGACTTCGGGGTGCAGGAGCACGAGCGCGGCATGCGGGCGTTCCAGTTCTTTGGGGAGTACAACCAGGTCGACCTCCCCAACCTGGTGGGCTTGGAGGTCACGCTCCGCCGGCGCCAGCTCATCGAATACCACTACGAGAAGAAGGGCAAGGCAGCCACCGGCAAGGAGCAGGGTGCCGGGCTGTCGCGCGAGGAGGCGGCCTACTTCACTGGCTCGCACAGGCTCGGGGGTGAGGTGATGATCTGCCCCGAGTTGGTAGAGTGGGTTTCAAAGGAGATCGAGAAGGGCGCCAGCGTGGCGAAGCAGATGCGAAAAGCGCGGGAGGAGGAACGCCTCTCGCGCAAGGATGGCTAAGCCAGCGCGAGGGCGGCAGGATGACCCCCACCTGTCCGCCCGCCTGCCGCAGGGGGAGCGCCAGCGACTTCAGCAAGCTGGTGCGGTTTTTGGTCAGCGCGATGCTCTGCCTCTTCATGCTGGAGGATTCCTGGGGCGTGCAGAGCCGAAGGGGTTCAACGTCGGCCGGAAGGTCAGGCGCCGCGTCGAGGCCCGCTCGCACGCCGACCAGTGGTGCGCGGACGTGGCACGCTCGTGGAATGTGATAGGAGGGCACCTGTGCAAGGATACGGACGTCTGCCGCTCCAGCCGCTTCTGGCCGCGTGCGCACGACCTCGGCATGGCCAACGTGAGAGCCAGTGTCGAGCGGTGGGGGCGGCCGCCGGCCGACCTCGCCTGCCGGGGGGCCTTTGATGAGCTCCGGGCAAACCGCAGCTACGAGGGCGCGCCTGTGGCTGTGGCGCCGATGGACATGGGCTTGCTCAGCCTGAGCGGGGCCGGCGCTCCTGCCGACCTGGCCCAGCTGCTGCGCGGTGGCCGCTCTGAGGCCCGCGGGTTTGTAAAAGAGTTTCTCTTGCCAAAGGATCAGGCAGATGTGCGTCTCGGCCTCGAGGGGGCGCCGCGCCGCCCCTACTCCGACCCTCTGCTGCGCCGGCCTCGAGAGCACGAGCGCCTCTTGGCAGTCATGTCAAGCAAAGGAATGATCGAGTACTCTCTCGACGTGGTCGAGACTTGCGGACTTTTTAGTGTTTGGAAAAAGAGCGGGAAGCAACGCCTCATCATTGATGCCCGCCGATCGAATTGTTGGTTCAAGGACCCCCCCAAGACCCGTCTGGCCTCGGGGGACTCTTTTGCTCGCCCCTTTGCTGCTGCCGGTCTCGCTCTCGAGCTCGGTCAGACTGACATACAGGATGACTTCTATCAGCTTGCTATGCCGGTCGAGCTTCGCCCGTGCTTTGGACTGGCGCCCGTTCGAGCCGGCCGTGTAGGGGTGTCTGTCACTGTCGAGGGATCCCAGGTCTCACCCAGCGCGCCTGTCTACCCGCGTCTCTGTGTCCTGGCGATGGGGTGGGCCCGCGCCCTGAATTGGTGCCAGCGGGTGCTTGAAGACATCAGCTCCCGGGCCCCTGGTCTTGGGATGGAGTCCAGGATCCAGGATCGCCGTCGCCCTCCCTCGCTCTCCCCTGTCGCTCACTCCGAATGCGTCGACAACTTTGTTGCCCTCTCCCAGGTCCCGGGAAACGCCCGAGCTGCGGCCCGCGGTGTGGCCGAAGAGCTGCGCCTCGCCGGGTTGCGTGCTCACCCTGTCGAAGCGGGGCCGGGGGGTGAGGCTCTAGGTTGGTTTTTCTCGAGCGAGCGGCCGGTAGTGCGTGCTAAGGAGCGACGTGTCTGGAGAATCCGTCTGGCCCTTCAGTATGCCCTTGGGCGCCCCAAGCCCTCTGGGAAGGATCTGGAGGTCCTCGTGGGGCACTGCGCGCACGCCTTCCCCATGCGTCGTGAGTTGTTGTGCTGCTTCAACGCTGTGTGCGCCTTCATCGCAAGGCATCGACGCGAGCGGGTGCCTCTGTGGGATGTGGTGCGTAAAGAGCTCCGATGGGCCTCCCATCTGGTGTGCTTCTGTTGGCGTGACCTGTCGGCTTCCGTCTGCCCCGTGGCGGTGTCGAGCGACGCGTCGGAGCGGGGGCACGGGGGCACCGTCTTGGAGGGGGACAAGGGCGACATCGCAGAGGCTACGAAGTACTCGGACAGGCGGCGCTTTCGCGACGGCTCCGGAGGGGCCCGCGCACAGGCTGCTGAGCTGATCGAGGAGGCCCTGGCTGGCCACCGCGTCCCTGGAGAGCGCGACGAAGGGGCTGAGCCGGGCGCCGTCGCGGGCGGCGAGGCGGACTGGGCCCCCGACGGAGGTGATCGAGTCCCACTGGTCCCCGAGAGGCTCCTCAAGGGAAAGTGGTCCGTGGTGTGCTCTCGCCCTTGGATGCGCCCCGAGGGCATGCCCGTCCTCGAGACCCGGGCGACGCTCTGGGGGCTGCGACACCAGCTTCGTAACTCACGCTGGTGGGGTCGAAGGCTTCTCTTCTTGTCCGTCTCGATGCCCGCCACCCTGGCTCTGTCGAAGGGCCGGAGTTCGGCCCCAGGCATGCTGAGAGCGGCGCGGGCATGGGCGTCGTCGCTGCTGGTGTCGGGCTGCTTCGCAACCGTCCGCTGGATTCCCAGCGAGCTCAACTCGGCGGATGCTCCCTCGAGGCGCGGGCTCGTCCTCGGCTCCGACGGGTGGCGATCGCGAGGGGCCGATCCTGGCCCGCGCGGCGCGGCCGCTGCCGATCCAGGTGCCTCTCCCGAGCGCCCTCTCGGCCGGCGGGGCTCTGCCGCGGCGCGTGGCGACGCCGCCGCGGACGCGAGGGCCGGCGCGGGGTGGCCGGGCGGAGGGCCCGGCCGCCGCCCCTGCCTCTCCGCGCCGCGCGGGGATGCCCGCGATGGCGCCCGCGAGGCGGGCCCGCCGCAGCACGGCCAAGGCCGCGGCCGCGCGGGCGCCCGCCCGCAGGCGCTGGGCAGCGAGCGGGGCGCCAGCGGCCTTCAACCGCATGAGCTTCTTGCAGCTGGAGAGCGTCAGGCCGCGGACGCGGGTGCTGTACCAGACGAGCTGGGACCTCTTCGCGGACTGGGCCCGGGGGCGGAAGCTGCCGATCGAGACGGAGGACGACCTCGAGACGGCCGTGCTGGACTACTTCGATTGCAAGTACTTCGAGGGCGCCCATTCGAGTTTGGGGGGCCGCCTGGTCTGCGCCGCGTGCTACCTGCGCCCGGAGCTCAGCCGCCAGCGCGGCGCGAGGCTGGCCCGCGTCCGGCAGGCCTTGCGGGGCTGGAGCCCGCGGTCGCCGAGCCAGTCGCGCCTGCCGACCCCGCGGGAGGCGGTGCGCCTGATCGCGGACCTCCTGGTGCGGAAGGACCGGTGGGACAGGGCCGCGGCGATCGTGATGTGCGTGATCTTCTACTTGCGGCCCAGCGAGCTCCTGGACCTGAGGACCTGCCAGCTGGTGCCGCCGCTGGCCGCCGGCCAGTCGTTCCAGCGGCGCTGGGCCCTGGTGTTGCACCCGATGGAGCTCGGGCGGCCGTCCAAGACAAATCGCTGGGACGACTCTCGGATCCTCGATCTCGACGAACACCAGTTCTTCGCCCCAGCGCTGGCTCGGCTGCGCGGCCCCGGCGAGGGGTCCGAGCGAAGGCTGTTCAGCTTCGACTGCCCGACGCGGGCGCGGGAGCACCGTCAGGCCGGACTGGAGCTGGGCTTGGAGGTGCTGGGCCCGCCGACCCTCTACGGCCTTCGACGCGCAGGGGCGAGCCTGGACTACGCGCTGGGTCGCCGCGCGATGCTCGAGATCCAGCGCCGCGGGAACTGGGCGGCCGCCAACTCGATGAGGAGATGCCAGAAGGCCGGGCGGCTGGCCGAGCAGCTTCACCTGCTCGCCCCAGGCGCGCGTCAAGCCGCGCTCCGATGCGCCGCGCGGATTGGCAGCATCCTGGCCGGGCGCTCGCCCTCCTGAAGGCGAACCTGCTGTCGGTCAGCTTCGCCCTCGAGATCTTCGCCGGCAGTGGCCACTTCTCCCAGGCGTGGCGTCAGCAGATCGGCACCCCCATCATCGAGTTCGACTTGAAGCACGGTGACCAGTGCGACGCGACGATGCCGGGGATTCAGAAGCGCATTCGTGGTTGGATCATGTGCGGCTACGTGGTGGCCGTTTGGATGGGCACCCCGTGCTCTAGCTTCTCACGGGCTCGCGATAAGCCCAATGGTCCTCCACGGCTGCGCAGCGACGACCTGCCGATGGGACTTCCAAACCTCAGAGACGTTGACCAGCTCAAAGTGGACATCGGCAACGCCCTCCTTAAGTTTTCGTGTTCTGTGCTACGGCTGTGCTCTCGACTGGTGATTCCAGCGGCGCTTGAGAACCCAGCCACGAGCCGATTGTGGACATGCCCTCCGATGAAGCACATCCTCTCGCTAAAAACGGCCTCGACCTACAGGGCCGACTTCTGCATGTTCAATCGTCCCTGGAGAAAAAGAACCCAATTCATCTCTTTCCACGTTGACCTCTCAGCTTCTGAGCGAAAGTGCCTGGGTCGAGGGCTCTGTTCAAGAACCGGCCAGCCACGCGTAGAATTGGCTGGAAACGTGAACGGCGTCTTCCGCGCTCACATCGCTGAGCCGTATCCGCCTGCCCTCTGTAAGCTTTTAGCCTTGTGTTTTAAATGCGCCCTGGCCGCTCGCTCGATAGCTGGTTTTAGCAGTGTGCGTGTGTGATGGCCCCTGCCTCCAGTAATGAATGTCGGCAGTTCGGGAATTCAAGTGCCTCTAAGACCGGTCTTTTTCAGTCAGTTAAATGAGTCTCTGGGTTCCTGCGCGAGCAGGGCAGTGCAGTCACCACGACAAGATGCTTCTGGCCGAAGTGAATAAAGGAGCTCAGAGCTTGTGAGATGACCCGTATCGTCTTAGCTCTGTGCGAAGTGTACTCACGGGTGGCCGTTCTGAGGACAGAGGTCCGAGTGCTTGCAAACGCCCCTCCACTTTGGGCGTTCCTCCCTCCCTCGGTCCTCCTCCGTCTCCGTCGGGGCTCCAAGGCTCCCGCCGCGCCCTCCCCGCCTATGATCCCTTGACTTTGATGGGAACTCATGTGCCTCTAAGACCGGTCTTTTTTTCAGTCAGTTAAATGAGTCTCTGGATTCCTGCACGAGCAGGGGGGTGCAGTCACCGCGACAAGTTGCTTCTGGCCGAAGTGAATAAAGGAGCTCAGAGCTATATATATATATATATATATATATGTATAATCATGATGGCCCCGCAGACAACCCCACCCGCAAAATAGCTCGGCCAACTCGCAAATGGCGGGGTGAACTAGAAGATGAGACGGTATCGGGAAACAACCCTGAGGTCCGATACGGCTTTTTTCTAGCTGTTTAGTCGTACGGCTATTAAAATAGCTGTACTCCTATTTTCTCAGCCAAAATGGCGATCCTTGTTGTTTTTACGATGTCAGTTCATTTTAAAGGTTGGTCGTATGATTTTTGCACACTCACATAGATTGAACCATACATGTTGCGAAGACCAGATTGTGCTGCATAGATTACACAAGATCTGCACATGCGTTATATCAGATCGTTGGGGTTGCACCGCATAGCTCGTACCACGTAGCTCATGCTTCACAATGTTGCACCACGATGGCACAATATCGCTTCCAACACATAGCAAGCCGAAGCCAAAGAGGGGAGGGGAGCAGACGACGGGGATAGGAATCAAGGGATGAGAAGAGGAATGATGATATGGCGAAGGAATCGGCCAGATTGGTCGCGACCTGCTCATGTCCATTGTTGCCGATGGTTCTCGCCCGTTCCTCTCCCATAGCCGTTTTGGCTCCAGAGTTTGTGGCGGCTGCTGGCTTAGAGTTGCCAGCATGTCCGACGACTCTCAAAGTTCCCGTGCTGCATCGACCATCGCGCAGCAGGAGTTGGACAGCATTGTGGCCCTCCACGTAAAGCACACCGACTCCTTCGACGGGTACACGACCAAGCTGGATGGGCCTCTCAAGACCGACATCATCTTGAAGAACAGGGATCTTCTGCAAGCTCTTCGGGTCGGCGCGCCCGTAGGCGGCGTCGACCGATTGCCGCTCCAGCAGGCGCTGGAGAGCCTGGCCGAGAGCAATGGGAAGTCGCGGCACCTCGCGGATCACCGCGGGGAGTGGGCGAAGGAGTCCAGCAAACGGATCCGCGCCATGCTTCGGCACGTCTCCAGCGCGCGTTGCAGGCGTCCTGGCACTTAACGCATCACCACCAAATAAAGGAGGGAAACATAGAGGCTGAGAGGAATACATGGAGGAGGAGGCGGAGGAGGACGAGGACGGAGGATGAAGGAGACCCAGGACAAATCACAGGAGGAGAAATCCGAAACCGAAGGTTGACGAGAGGAACAAACGTGAAACTCGCTCCCCCCCCCCCTCCCCAGGCCAGACAAGTGCCCGAAGTGGGCCGCGCATTTCATCATCGACGTCGCCTCGCTGGAGGACCGCCCGTTCGACCTCCTCTTTTACTTCCTCGATCCTTGCCTCCCTTCTCCTCCTTCCTTCTCCTCTTAGTCTCCTCTCCCTTCTCCTCGTCCTCGTCTTTCTCAAGCCTCGTCGGTCGCCCTTCTCAAGCCACTTCGGTCTTTCTCGAGCCCTGATTCTCATCATCCCTCCCTCCTCCTTCCATCCGCCTCGCGGCGCCCCGTGCCACCCCCCTCGCCGCTGCCGCCGGGGCGCGCCGATGGACGGGTGCCCGGGCGACCACCCGAGGTTCAAGAACGCGCTCGGAGTGGCAGCGAGCCCCGAGCCGGACAAGGACGTTCGAGAGAAATGCCCGCTTGAGACAACGGTAGTGGCCGCCAGTGGACCGCCGTTTTAGCCTCGACGAGGTCGTTGAGGCTGCCGCGACGGTTGCTGGCGGCCACTTCCGACGTTGCAAGCGAGTGTTTCGCTCGATCGCAGAGTGCCAAGAAGGGCAAGCACAAGGCCCCCGACGATGATGATATTGTCGAGACCCTGGGAGCATACCATTACGGGGTGGCCGCAGACATGCAGGACTTCCCAGGGAAACGATTTCGATCGAGGGATTTCTGGATAGGGGGGAGGCGAAGCGAGGCAAGGGGGAGGAGGGGAGCGCACGGGCATGCGGGGAGGAGGAGGGGAGGAGGAGGAGGAGGAGGTGGAGGGGGAAGCGGACAGATCCTGCATCTGCGGATCATTCCGCTATTGATTCCTCCTTAACCCGATGTCCCTCCCTCCACCCGATCTCTCCCTCTTATCATCCCGATCGGGGTTCTGAGTCGATCCCTCCTCAACCTTTTTCTTTGCGCCCCGAGGTTGCGCGGCGATTCAAAACCGATTGCAGCAAGCTCAGAGAGCGCAGCAAGACCGTCAGGGAGAGCGAGGAGGATGGCAAAACAGTTCGCACAGCACAGTTCGGCGATGGCGAATGGCGGCTTCCAGACTCTGCGATGCACACGGCGGCGCCGTCCAGCGCAGTGCCCACCGACTGCAAGCTGTGGGGGGGCGCGCTGAAGAGCAACGAGGATGTGAGGATCTACTTGTCCTGGGTGAACAGGAAGGGTGAGAAGACGCTAGCTATTTGGGAGAAGGCACCCAGCGTCAGGGCTGTTCTGGGATGTCAGTTGACAAAGTGGAGCGATCCCGATGATGCTGCAGACTTCATGAAGAAGTGCGCCGTTGACCATGCAAAAGGCACCATCGATAAACCGACCATGGAATCACGGAAGAAAGGGTGACTGCAAAAGAACTGCCCATCTGCACCTGCCGTCATGAAAAAGCCAGCCGTCGCCAAGAAACATGCCGCGGAAACCCAGGGTAGCCTTTTCGAGGCCTCAGGCAAGGGCAATACGAGCAAAGATCGTGACGCCGATGCTGATGGTGATGACTCGGACGGCGCCGCAGAGTCCAACGGCGACAAGGGGGGCACCGATCGCAGCGAGTCGGACGAGGAGGGCGAGGAGGACGAGGACTTGGCCAAGCCAGCCCCCGAGGAGACGCAGACGCGCCCAGCAGCAGCCACCAAGGGCATGGCGCGCCCGTCCGCGCACGCGGAGGGCAAGCCAGAGCAGGGCGACAACGCGAGCAGCGAGAAGGGCATCCAGATCACCCCGATCGCGAAGTCGCCAAAGACCACGGCCGAGGCGGGGGGGGCGAAGGCAGCAGAGCCGCCGACGGCCCCCGAGCCCCAGCCAGTGGCCAACGTGCCCAAGGGCCCCAGGGGTTTGCCGCCGATGTGCGCGCCTCCAGATTTCGACTAGTAGCATCGACTTTTACTTTTTTATATATAAAAAACGCACGTCGGGGTTCTGAGGGCCCCCAGTCGAAAGCCATGTCCGCAGATAACCAAACCTATTCAAAACAAAACGTTTCGAATGTAACGTCGTGCTACCTCTCCCTCCCCTCCTGAACTCTTCCTCCCCTCCCCCCCCTCCCCCCCCCCCTCCCCTCTCCTCCCGCCCCTTGCCTCCTCTCCCTCTCCCTCCCCTCCTCCCCCGTCCACCTCTGTATTGGCGGACATCCGCCGCGTTCCCGTGCCCTTGAATTCCTGACCGAGGATCGGGGGGCGTGGCTCATATGGTCCGATCGGGCACGTTTCGTTCAGGTGGTCCGAATTTCGACGCATATCCAGCCGTTGCGACAAGGCTTCCAATTTCGGGCGATGCCTGCCGTGGCGATGAGGGACCTCAGAGGCAGACGTCTCCGCAGCGAGAGCCGACCTGCTGGATGAAGATGGGCTGGGGCACGCAGTGTTCCTGGCGAGCTGTGGCGAGGAGTAGGAGGAGGGTGAGGAACACGAGCAGGGGACGTAGGCTAGGAGAGGAAGGCGGGCGGAGAAAGCAGAGAGAGGAGCCGGGGGGTGGCAGAGAAATGGACGACGCACCCAAACCCCGTCAAGAAACCACATGGGGGCTCGGAGTTCGATCGATTACCGCAGCTATTGGCTTGCCCAAGGACTCCCTTAAGGATACCTGCCTCGAACTCTCAGAAATGACACCTCCCCTCGGGCGGATCTTTTTGAGAAACAGGGGCGCGGCGGACGCGGACCCTACCATGTCGGACAACGTGCTCTACCAGCTTCTGCGGCACCTGCCTTCTGGGCCAGAGCGGCAGGACATCTCGTGCGTCAATGCGCAGCGCAGCAGCCCGCTGCCCGTTCCACCACGGGCTCAGGGGGTCGCGAATGAAGGAGGACAGAGGGCAGCCAGAGGATGGGAAGGATGAAAGCGAGGGGGGGGGGGAGAGGGGAGAAGGAGGGGCAGGAGGGCAGAGGAGGGAGGTGGAATGGATCACGAGAGAAGAGGGGGGGAGGAAGAGGAGAACTAGGAGGAAGGGGGAGGTGAATGGAAAGGGGGATGGAGGTAGCGAGTGAGGGTCCGGAACGGAGGATATATCTTGATTAGCCGACGCGCGCGTCAGAGGCGCCGAACATGTCCTGCCACTCGTCTGACGAGATTTTTCTAAAACTTGCGGTTTCGGGAGGGAGCAGAGAGAGCCTAAATGTGGAGCACTCGCGATATTGGGAAGGGGAGGGAGAGGGGGAGACAGAGAGAGAGAGATATAGAGAGAGAGAGAGAGAGAGAGAGAGAGAGAGAGAGAGAGAGAGAGAGAGAGAGAGAGAGAGAGATAGAGAGAGAGAGAGAGAGAGAGATATAGAGAGAGAGAGAGAGAGGGAGAGAGAAGAAAACAAAAAAAAGGCAGGGAACTAAGTACCAATATATATATAGAGAGAGAGAGAGAGAGAGAGAGAGAGAGAGAGAGAGAGAAGAGAGAGAGAGAGAAGAGAGAGAGAGAGAGAGAGAGAGAGAGAGAGAGAGAGAGAGAGAGAGAGAGAGAGAGAGAAAGAGAGAGCGGACAAGTGGGCGGACCAGGGTCCGTTCGCGAGGCGCACTGCGGTGCGACAACTCGCATGCACTATTAGCGGCGGTGCAGCCTTAAGATACGAGGGCGGGCAACAGGCCCCTTCCCCCGGCGCATTGCGTCTGAAGCAACGGACGGCGGACAGACTGTGAAGATCTCACCTGTCAGACCGCGTGAAGAAAAAGGCCCCAACGCTAGTGGCGACGTGAAAACGTGGCTAAGGCGGCTTGGCGGACCGCCGGTTGGGCGCTTGGCCGCAGCGCGGCGCGCAGAGACGGGGCACCCCCCGCCCCCACGCCCAGGCCCCGTGGCCGCGGTGCCTCGCGGGCGCACGGGCTGGCGAAAAGGGAAAAGGTGCACCAGCTGGGAGCCGTATGGCCCAGCACAGTGCGCACAGGCCGAGAACCCCAACAGGAGCGGCAAAGGCTAGCCGACAGCACAGCGGCACCAGCCGCTGCCAGCTAACCTTTAGCCCCCATTGGCGGACCTCGAAAGTGACAGAGTCCGCGGCCAGGCGGCGGACAGCAGAGGGGCGCCAGACGCGCCGAGGAAAAGGTGCACATGCTGGGAGCCGAATGGCCCGCATGCTCACAGGCAGAGACAGTGCAAAGGTGCAGTGGAGGCCCTCACAGCGGATGCACCCGCAACGACATGGCGGACATGACATGGCGTGAAGACACGAGTGCGTGGGGAGGGGCTGAAGCCGCCACCCCCGCAGCAGGCATAAAGACGATTGTGGAAGAGGTCCCAATTCGAACACCGCCGCTCGTGCCGGCAGGGGAGAGACACTGCGTGGCGGCATCCTTGTTTCTGACCCTTCAGGCTGAGACACTGTGTGGCGGCATCGTTGTTTCTGACATCACAGAATAGAGTCAGAGTGAGTGTTTGTACGCATGTGTAGCAGGTGTGAACAACAGACACTTGTCTTTTCCACCGATGTTGCCGTCCAGGGGGCAGGCGGGAGGTCAGCAGGGACAGGCTCCTCCGGGATGTCATGGAGGGGCTCCAGGGCAGTCCCGGGGAAGGGGCGCGGCGACTGGTCGAGGCGCCGCATCAGTTTCTGCGCGCTGCCTGACAGCCGGAGCCCTGGGTCTTTGCGAACGCGAGTCACATCGGAGCGGCTCCAACCGACGGCGAGACCGCCGGTGAACTGGACCACGACGCGGTCGCCAGACAAGTCGATGGTTGTGCCGATGTATCCACGCAGAGGGCTGGTCGGTGCGGTGATCTCGACCTGTACCCCGAGGAAGAGGCCGTCGTCGTCACCGTCATCGCGTGAGCCACCGAGGCCTTCGTCGTGGCCAGCCGTGTTGTCCGTCTGATCGCGGCTGCTGGCGGCAGGCAGCGAGGCCGACTTGCAGGG